CGCCTGCTCCCCCCTACTCATTCCCTGTGCTTGTGACTCACAGAGAAAATCTCTGCACCCACATAAACCCTCAGCAAGTGGATAAAAGCTGCTCTCTGTGCTGGATGTTTGGTGTTCTGTGGCAATTTTATGCTGTTTCTCTTTGTTAACATGTCTCTGTAATAATAAGAGTTCTCAATTTGATATATTTTATTTTCTTTGTAATAAGCCAAAAAGCTCCTTGTTGGTGCCTTTTTGCCTGGGGGGCCCTACCAGGCCACAACTGTGTTCCTGGGAGGAACAAAGGGCAGTGTCTCCAATTGTTCCTTCCACCGGAGCTGAGGGAAGGTGGGAAGCCAGTGCCTCAGGATTGTGCAGCCTTGGAATGGCAGAGACTTTGGGGTATGTTGCCGGTTCTTTTCTGGAATGTGGCTCCAAGGCAAGGGCTGAGCATGACACTGGGGACACCTTGGCCCCATCTCAGTGGGATTGTGACTCTTGAGGCCCCGTGAGCTGCGTGGGGTGGGCACAGCACGCACAGCCTGGCCCGGCCCCGTTTGGAATCAGAGGGCTTTGCCCAACTTACAGCACCTGAGGGCAGATCTTCTAGGAAAGGACGAAAGGACGTTCTTAGATTGCTGCTACAGCTCTTTGGTTTTTTTAATTGGAACTGAATGCATTGGATAAGGAAAATAGACCCCCCCAGTGTTCGATGCCGTGGGGGCGAGAGCACAAGGACAGGCACTGCCGGGGCCAGCGGGATCCACTGCAGGATGCCCAGGGGACAACTGAGTCTCAGGTCCCCGTACAGGACTGAAGGCCATTTATTTGTGTAACCAAAGAGAGGAGCCTGCCTGGCACTCAGGTAAAGACAAACCAATGACACTGCGCTTGGGGTAAATGAAAATTCTCCTTTTTGGCTCTGTCAGCCACGCCTGGGTCCCATGTGAGCCCTTGGCTGTGCCACAGGGTGGCCCCTCACGCTTGGTGTTCAGCTCTTTTTGTAACCTGAAAATCTGCTGTTGTTCTGAGTCCAATAAATGCAGAATTTGGTTTGCTGGAGCTCTGCCCTCTGCCTATGTTTGGCTTTTGTGTTGTTTTTGTGCGTGAAATCGCTGTGGGTGTGACAGCTGTCAGCGAGTGAAGGCGCTGGGAATCAGTGGGTCATTTGTCAGTGGATGAGGCTGTACATTGGGTCATTGTAGGCTTTTTCAACAGTCAGATTTCGCTATTAATCACATGTCTGAACTGGTAATTCAGTTACACAGTTGACTAATCCTTTCATATATTCCTCTTTGGGTCTTTTAAATTGAATTTCATTTGATTAATGTATTTCTCAAAACAAGAAGCTAATAAAGGCCAGTGTCCTCCTCTTTTTGTTGTTGTTTTCGGTAACTTTATGAGCAATTGTAAATCCAGTCTGCTGGAATGTCTTTATAAAATTGACCTGTGCTCTCTAAGTAATAAAGAAGACGCTTATCAGCCACTTGTTAATTCAAGGCACAGATGTGAACCCTGCCCAGGGCCAAGATTTGATTAACTGAGACAAAGCAAACAGCTTGAAAAAAAAAACTCACCTCATCAGGCCACAGATAACTGACAATGCCTGATGTGTAACTGCACTGCAGCAATCCACACACCGTGCCCCTGGAGCTGCAGCACAGAGCGCCAAGGGCACAAAAGCCTTGGCATTAGGGCTAGTCACATGCAGGGAATCTGGTCCCATCCCTTGCTCTGAGTCACAGAGAAAAATTAATGTGTTACTTTCAAAATTTACCCTTAGTGGACACTGGGAAGGCCACCACCACGCAGGACTGTGGTGGTATCTTGGGTACCTGCTGGCATGTCAGCCGCAGTGTCACCTGCCAAATGGTCACTGGCCACCAACGTCCACAGGGACATGCAGGAGTCACTGGTCCAGTGCACTGTGGGGTGACCCACTGAGGGTCCCAGTCCGTTGGTGGCCACGCATTCCTGGGCTTACATCGGCCTTGGTCTCTGGCAGCTCCTCACTTGCGTGGCTTGACCGGTGTCTGTGGGAGGACAGTGAGGGAACCAGTCCGAGGGCTGCCAGGGTTGGGACTGCCAAGGGGCAAATCCACCTCACTCAACTCCTGCCCTGTTATGTTCCAGCTGTCTCTGCTGTGTATCCTGCATCCTGCATCCCATACCATGCATTCCGCACCCTGCATTCCACATCCCACACCGTGTCCTGCATCCCGCACCCTGCATCCCGCATCCCGCATCCCACATCCCGCATCCCACATCCCGCATCCCACATCCCGCATCCCACATCCTGCACCCCACATCCCCCATCCTGCATCCCTCCTTTTGCACCCCGCATCCCGCCCCCTCGCCACTGGTCACCAGGACCTGCAGGCCACTGTGAAGCTGCTGCCCCCCCGACCCTTCCAAACCGCGGCAGCTGCTGGGGCAGTGACAGCCACTGTGCTGCCACCGGGGCTGAGCCACGCGAGGGTTCCAGAGCTGCCCTTGGAGATGCCTCTGCTCCCCAGCAGAGCGGCACCGGGATCTCTGGAGAAAGTTCAGTTACCAGAAAGAAGAAGAAAACTGAAAACATGGAAACATCATGAAAGCCCCAAAATGGCACTGTGCTTTAAGGCTGTTTGCTTGTCCTTGTCCTCAGAGCAGCCAGTAGGAAATTTTTACAATAGAAAAGAGTTCCGTTTCCTAAAATGATGATGAACTGTGTCAAACAGCCCTTCTGGCAGCAGTTCCCCTCCCCGGGGGCCCACAAGTGCCAGCACTGGGACCCCGCTGAGCTGGCAGCCAGCCCCTGTGCCTTCCAGGCTGCCAGGGCTGTGCCCACGCTCCTAGGAATGAGTTGGTGGCAACCGCAGACCTCAGCGGGGTCACGGCGACTCGAGTGCCCCGACACGAGGGACGTCGGCCAACACCGGGGTTTGTTCTGTACCCAAAACTGCTGCCACCTCTGCCCTCGGCGGTGGGCAGGCGCCAAGGGGAGGGTGAGCGGGGCCCAGCGTGCCCCATGTCCTGTCCCCACTAGAGCAGAGTGACACAATGGCACAGTGGGGTGGCACGGTGGGGTAACATGGCACAGTGGCACAGTGGGGTGACAAGGCACAGTGGCACGGTGGGGTGACAAGGTACAGTGGCACAGTGGGGTGACATGGCACAGTGGCACGGTGGGGTGACAAGGTACAGTGGCACAGTGCCACGGTGGCACGGGGAGAGCCTGCAAGGCCGAGTCACCAAAGGGAGCCACAGTGTGCAGCATGCAGAGTGAGGGAAGACGGAGCTGTGGGACGATGGAAGTCCTGTGGGTTTTCCTCTCAGTCAACATGAGAATGGCCACATTTTATACAGGATTTCAAGAATCTTCAGAAGTTCTGCCTTGCAGGAGCCCTTAGAAACTCTGAGAGAGGTTGTTAAAGCACTTCTGAAAACACAGAGAATGAAAAACATCACAGCTTTTACTGGTTTAAAGTACCTCCTGACTGTTTAAACCAATCACAGGACTTTTTGGTGTCCTGACCTGATTTACAGCTGTGTGTACGGGACAAGAAATCTACTGAGGGCTGCCAGGAACCCACCCGGCACAGGGAGCTGCTCCCAACTCAGAGCATCCAGATGGGTAATTGTGCAGTGGGGTGGGCCAGGGAGAACTACAGAGCTGAAAACTACAGCTCTGATCCTGTAAGAAGTCCCACGTGGGTGGATTCCAGCGCCTTCCTGGATCTCTGTGCAACAATAAATTTCAGATGTCAGTGCTCCACTAAGTACATTTCAATTCTAAATTTATCACACAGATGTGTCTGCTGCAGCGTCTTTGGCCTCTCCAAATTCTTCCTCTGAGAAGAACTTTGTGAGGCCCAGGCTCAAGCTTTAGAACTGCTTGTTTTGTTATCTTCTCTCTGTGTAAAAACCTACAAGGCTTTACTTGTGCTGGAAAATAATTTTTGTGCTCAGATTAAACCCAAATGTTTTCTGTAAGAAAGCAAACCAGGCAGCTGTGGGCTGAGAGACAAGGATTGTTGGGACAGAGCCTCAGTGCTCACTCCAGTTTGTGATCGCTTAATACAAGGGCTAATGGCAAAAAAACCAGTTTAGTTCCCTAAATGCCGCTGTTTTGAAGGCATCCAGCTCTGGAAAAGTTACAGTTCCAGAGGAAAACATTTCAGAGAAACTAGGAGCCAGAAAAAACAAGTAGAGAAACCTTAAGCTGCTGCTCCAGCTGCATTGCATCTGTGCCTGCCGCAGTAGCGCTCCAGCCCAGAACCAGGGCACAGCACAGCCCTCTGAGCCAGCAAACCTGGCCTCGTGCTGCCCATCAGAGCCCTCGGGCGAGGGCTGGGATGGTACAAAATAATTGCAGGAGGATTCGAGAACACCAACCAGCCCCGAGCAGCGTGGGTGGACACGCACCCCTACTCCAGCTGGAGACTGTCAGGGCCGTGGGGGCAGCTCAGCTGCCCATGTCCCCGGGAACACCCTCCTGCTCTGGCACCCTCTGGTGTGGTCACCTTGTCAGGCTTCTCCAGAAACCCAGACTCCAAATGCAAGATTCCCGTTTCAGACAGAGAAAACTTGTCTCCTGAAAGAGCTTATCGGTGAAGAAAAGCAAGGGGTCTGAAAAGCAAACACTGGTGCATGGTGTCAGGGTAATGAGGGGTGGGAAAACAGATGTGAGGAGAGGAAAAAGGTGCTGGATAGATGGAAAGAAGCTGGTGCTGGTCACCGCAAACCTGAAGCCTCAGTGACTCGCAGTGCAGGACACTGTCCTGGCATTGTGGCAGCATGGGAATGTTCAGCCTCTGCAGGACATCCCCTCCTGTCAGAAAATGCAGAAACCCGGGGCCGGGGACTGCAAACGCAGTGGGGCCACGCAGAGCCCAGGGCGCTCCCAGTCCCACAGACACAGCCCTGGGCAGCCTCCCCAGGCACGGGGCCAGGACCCCACAAGGCACCTCCCTGCAGAGGGGGCAGCAGCAGGGACAGCACTCAGGCACTGGAAAAAGAAACAAAACACACTGTGAGGGTTCTGTTTGACTTCATAGAAACTTTATAAACACATATAGCAACCTATGCTTGTACACACAAAACCAGCTCCAGGGCTGATGCCAGGGGGCTGCTGCGCACATGGGGCAATCCCGAGTTCCCAGCTGTTGCTCCTGGGGCACTGGCAGCAGGAACTGTGCCCAGAGCAGTGGGGACTGTGCCCCCAAGGCAGCAGAGATTGGGCCCCACAGCCCCCTCTCCCCCAGCACCCCACCACTCCACTGCTGGTCCCACGTTCAGCTGCACCCACAGAGGCGGAAAAACCAGCACAGACACACAAGCGACAAAGGACTTTAAAAGGACACCATGAAATATGTCTGCTGCTTCCTCCCCATTGCTCACATTGTCAGACTGAAACTCAGCTGCTCCTGGACCCCCCTGCCTGTGGAGCCTGGCTCTGTCTCCGGGGTCTGTGCCGGGCAGTGGGTGCGAGCAGGAGGGGAATGTGACAGCCACTGCTCCTGCAAGACGAGTCCTGGGAGTGTCACCTCCAGGGCCACCCACAGCAGCAGAACCCCGGGAGCTTCCCAAACTGAAAGGGTTGAGGGGTCCCTAAAGCACAGCCCTGAGCAGGGAAGGAAGTTGGGAAATGCTGGCCTTGTGTGTGGGAGCCACCAGACTGACACCCTGGGACAGTCACCCCAGGAGGGGACGAGGTTGCCACAGGGCTGGGGGCTGGTGGTGCTGCACGTGGGTGGCCCTGCTGCTGGGCTGGTCAGAGCAGCTCCCTCTGACTTCAGCTCCATCCTACTTACTCCAAGACACCTGTCCTGGAGCTGCTGGCAAGGGGTTGCAGCAGGAGGCGCTCAGCACAGCCCGAGGTGGTGCCTGTGGCACAGCCTCAGCCACCACAGCACAAGGCTGGTTTGGTTTTAAAGCCTCTTTCACGTAGCAGATCCAAAGGAGGGAGCAACTGGGGCACTGCTGAAGCCGAGCGAGCAGGAGCACCATGGACACAACGTGTGAGCACCAGCGTGTGACATCCAGCAATAACAGACACAAGATCACACACGAGGCAAAGCCCCGGGAGACGGGAAGGACAGCGGCAGCATCCCACCGGAACATGTGAGCCGGGCAGGACACAGCACGCTCGAGGGATAGAGAACCCGGGAAGCACCTGGTGGAATGTTTGCCCACTCTTTTGGAATGCTGCCAGCACCTAAGGAAAATCATTCAAAATGAGGAAATTGCCTTTGGGCTGGCAGAGGAAGCGGGGAAGCCACAGGTTGCTGTGTATCACCCTGGGACAAGCCTCTACTGCTATGGGGGTGCACGAGGAGGTCCTGGCCAGGGACAGCTCCTGGGTCAACAGACATTGCCCACAAGACCACTGCTGAGGGACAGGCTGGGCGCCTCAGACCGGAAATCAATAAACAAGAAAACAAGAAATCTTAGAAAAATGGTGGGTTTGACCCCCATTCAGTGAGTTTCAGATCCTCAGCACCTCTGTGCTGGCCCACCAGAATCACCCCAAACAGAGACCTCTGGGAGTGCCTGTGGGAAGCGGATGTGGTGGGAGTGTGGCTCACACAGGAGGAGGAGCACCTGCTGCCCCCTTCCCCCAGCTGCACCCTCAGAAGCTGCTGACCCCGGACAAGGCTGCAGTCCCACTCAGGCCAAGCCTCCCGCCCAGCCACGCCCGCTGGCACAGCCTTCCAGGACAGGGACATGCTGATGCCCAGGAGATGAGATGTCCCACAGAGCTGAGCACAGTGCTTCCCCTGTCCCTGCCCAGCCTGCTCAGCACGGGCAGTGTTCCCAGGCACGGCTGCCCCACGCACTGCAACCGCAGCACAGCTCACCAAGCAAGGGACACGAGCACAGAGGAAGGGGTTTCTCAGGGCAAGGGGGGCCAACCCCAGCTGCAGCTGCTCTGCCCTTGTACCCAAGGGCCTCAGCCCCTGCACTGTCCAAGGTCACCCTTGTCAAGGTATGTTTCCCAAAAGTGAGCAGGTAAATGGTGGCTCCGCTGTCCCTTCCACAGCACTGCCCACGCTGCCGGATGTGCACGGGCACACACGGGCACTGCCACAGACTGCAGGGAGGAGAGGTGGGAGGGCTGAAAACAGTTTAAACACAGACATGTGGGCAGGGCCTGCTCTCCATCGTGGTCTCCCTCTTCTAATTTCTTGAGCCGCTTGTGGCTTGGAAATCATCGTCCAGTAAGAAGGCTGCTCTCCAGGGCACTGGGGCTGGCCAGGGTCAGCTGTGACTCCTGGGTCACAAGCACAGAAAGTCTCCTGGGTCCAGCTGGGCCGAGCTGCTTACAAAGCCTGGAAAAAGAAAACAAGCTCTATGCTCTGCAGCAGTGCAAATCCGTCAGTGATGGCACAGCCACTGGACTACCACCACCCCATAAATGCTGAATTTGTCAATGCTTTCTGTTTATTGTTTCATCTGTTGCCATAAACACATACCTTTAGCCTCAGCTCTCATCACCTGGGATCCTGCCTTGTGGTGATGAAGAACTGGATAAAAGGAAATAAAAGAATAAAGAAAAAATGAATGCAAGAAGCAGGCTCCAATTCAGCTCCACAAGCTGCTCAAGGCTGGGTAACAGGCAGGGAGAGGTGTGTTTTGCAATAGAACAAATGGTCTCCCCAGCAGCACTAGCAGCAGCGGTTCTCAGACTTGCCCAAAAACATGCTCCCCCTTGGGCAGAGGCTGGTGACCTTTCAGAGCTGGAGCTTATTTGGGCAGATGTTATCACAAATGGCACCTGCTGGCACTCAGAGCTGAGGGCTTCGGTGCCCACGCTGTCCACCCATCACCCCCTACCTCCCTGCCTGTGACCCCCCGGTGTGGGACCAGCCACATGCTCTAATCAGCACTCCTCAGCTCGCCCATGACCTATCTCCCCACAAAGCCCAGGCACAGTGGGCACTGTGCTGGGCAGACCCACACACATGGCAAAAAGGATCCACAGGGACATGTGTCACTTGGCAGATTTAATTTATCAAGTTTGTATCTGGATTCATGTTTTACTCTTTGTGTTCTTTGTCTAGTTTCAGCATTCTAGCTAAGCCCCATCTGCTGCCCATAAGCAAGACCAAGCCAGGCTGGGGCTGGGGCTGGGGCTCAGGGTGGCTGTGCTGGCTCTGCCTCAGAGGGAGCACCCTGTGCTGCAGGGCTGCTGCTATCCATGTGCCACCTTCCCCATGCCAGCCTTACCTGCCTGTTCTTCGGGAAGCCGTCTCAAAGAACTTGGTCCTAGAGGCCACCCTGCAAAGAGGACAGGAAAGGTCACGCCAGTGATCTGATTATTTGCTAATTAGATCTGCTCTGTGCCAGGCAAAAGAGAGCCACAGCACTGGCAGAACTGCAGAGATCCCCTTCAAACGACAGCTCTTGTGCCAAGGCACAGCTGGGCTCCTTCTGCCGCCCGCTCTGTGCCCTCTGCCCTCATAGCACCCACCAGCACTTTGGCTGTGCTGCTTACAGAACCATAGAATCATGGAATCATCTGGGTTGGAAAAGACCTCCCAAGACCATCTAGTCCAACCTTTGACCAAACATTACCATGCCATCTAAACCACCGCACTAAGTGCCACATCCATCCATTATTTCCGTGCTCTTGCCTATAATCCCACGTGCTGTGTTATATGCCTGCATCCATGCCCTTCGTGGCCTCTCCTTCAGTGTCTATGTGCTCATGCCCCTGCTCACAGAAAGAGAAGCTCTCCCAGGCAGTTCAGGAGAGACAAGGCCTGGCCCTGGGGTCATGGAGCTGACACTCATGGCACTGTTTTTTCTTTTGTTTAATTCCCACCGAAGCCAGCAGGGTTTCTGACTCTCTAAAATCTGAAAGAAATCTGAGGAGGAAGCTGAACTCTGTCCAATGTCCTTAAGAAGATCCAAGCTGGGTCTTGTTCTGCCCCAGGAAGAGTCTCATTTGAGAGGTTTGCTAGGACCAGGAAGGGAGGCCATGCATGCCCTCTGCTCAGCTTTCCAAGTGACACCGGAACCCATGTTCACACTGGTGCCGAGTGGATGTCCACAGGTTCCAGCCACTGCACACCCCTGGCACTGGAAACCAACTGGGTATTTCTCCTCCTCCTCTTCCAAAATTCCTGGGAGGTGATACCTACTCCTACTCCTGCTGCCCAGGCTCACCTCTTCCGCCTCGTGCTCCCCCAAGCCCCAGGAACTCCCACTGGCACCGCACCCTTCATGGGCTGCTGGCTTACACAGATGAGGGCATCTCCTCTGCTGTCCCTGCTATCAGATCCGGCCTCTGTTCCAGCTTTGGAGGGACTGGAGCCCTGCACGGTGGATCTGGAGGTCTCACGGGAGGCCGCATTATCACGGGCTTATCGCTATGGGAACGCGGCTTAGGGACACCGTCACAGTCACCTGCAGGATGGAGATCACAAACACTGAGCAGGAAGCTTTGGCAGAGGGGGGATGTTTATGAGGGGACACTGAACAGGTCGTTGGATTTAGTTCTGTCTGTCTGCCCCAACACCCTCTCGCTGACAGTGGCCAATTGCCAGAAGGGAGGGACAGAGCCCATGGAAAGGCAGGTCCCGCGCTGCCTGCCCCAGCACAGCCTTCCTGGCACTGGGAACAGGGCTGGTGAGGACAAATGCCATGGAGCTGCTGACTGTAAAGCTGATACTGCCTGGGAACGACAAGTGTTCTTAACTAAATCCTGTGCAGTGCTGTTTGCAAAAGGGAGAGGACCAGCATAAACTGGTGATCCCTGCAGCCACTGCTTCTCTGAGCTTTTACCCAGTAGCACTACTTGTCCTCTCCTCAGCTGCTCATCTTTCCCAAGATCCAGCCAACCTCACTATTCACTTAACCCTTCAAAGTCTTTTAGGGTCAAGTCAACATGGAATGAGTGTGACACTTCAGCTGTTCCCACGTCTCAGGCTGTTCTTGTCTCCGCCCCTCCTGCTGAGCTACATTAAGAGGACTCAAGGAGAGAAGCCCACCACCCGCCGCAGGGAGGGCTGGCTCCGGCCCCTCAGGCAGAGGTTCCCTGTCCCCGGGAGCAGGGCCGGGCCCCGGGGCACACTCACCGTCTCTGCCATTGCCCCCCGGCCGTGGGGCCGGTCTCCTGGCCTGCAGGGTGCCGCTCCTCAGGGCAGGGCCGCTCACCACGCCGTTGGCCGCCTTGCCTGGCGGCTTCGCCCCTCCGTCCTGCAGCCTGGCCACCGGCTTGCCCAGCTCGGGCTCGGTGCGTGGCTGGGGCCGGCTCTCGGCGGGGGGACGCCCCGGCTCGTCCCCCCCGGGCCGGGGTGCGGGCGGGCGGCTGCGGTGCAGCGGCTTGGGGGCCTCCACGCTGCCGCCATTGGGGGTCTGGCCGAGCCGCTCTGCTGCGGAGCCAAAGGGACAGAGAGCCGCGGGGTTAGTTGTGTGCCACGCTCCGTGTCCCGCCAAAAACCCTTCGTCTCACCCCTCTGGCTGTGCCGCAGACCCGGGAGCAGGAGGTCTGCTATGAACCTGCCTGCTCCCTGCAGCCTGCTCCTGCTAACGCTTCCGCTCCCGGCTCGGGGAAGCGTGGAAACGCAAGGCCAGCCCCAACGCCATGAGCAGTCTAGGGGTTTTAAGGAGTAATGTGAATCAATCATGTTTCACTAGTTCATAAAGTACATTTTGTGTACACTTTATGCCTAAAACATAATCAAAGCTCTGAAAACTCTAATGGAGAAAGAAATTTGTCATCTCTTTGGTAACAATGGGATCAGAGCACAGCTTGCAGCGACAATTAGAGCAAATTGGGTGCAGAAACGTGATTTTAAGCAGATGTGTCCTTCAACATTATGGTAAGGGCTTCAGCATTTCCTTATAGTCAGCTGGATTTAACAGCAGGGTTGAACTTGGTCTAGAAAATACTATCACTGGGCCCTGAAAAAGTGCTTTGGAGTTCTTGCTCTGGATGTGGAAGCACCAGTGGCTGAGCCAGCCCTGCAAACACCACCTCCCTGTGCAGTTCCCTTTGCACCTTTACCTCCGAAGCCACAAAACCTCTCCTCTGGGCCTCTCCTGTGCAAGAACCACCCTTAGTTTAGCTAATGGAGAACACAGCACGAAGCAGAAAAACCCAAATCCCACAGAATCTAACTTATGACATAATGCAACCAAATGTGTACATTTTTTGCTTTCCTTTCTCTCTTAACAGCCCTCACTGCCTGCCATGTTCAGGGTTGAGGAAGTGCAGCCCTGCTGCTCTTTCCTCCACTGCTTCTGGAAAGGTGTTACAGGAAGCAAGAGGGGTGAGAGGCAAGTAAGGCATCAGAGAACAGCTGGACTGACCTCCACTTTCCTCCACAGAAGCACCAAAGAAGACAGGTCTTTCCCTCAGGGGACGTTTGGAGATGGTGATGGGTTTGTGCCGCCGGGCAGCCACCCTGGGTGGGGGCACTGGAGGGGCCGAGGTGTCCTCTGGGGGGCCGGAGTAGATCTATAAAGGGAGACATGTCCAGGTGACCCAAAACAAAGGGGCTGCTGCCTCACCTCCCAGCACAGGGGGGGATGGTGGACACCACCAGCACCATCCCCACCACCAACCCCCTCCCCACCACGACACTGTCTCCACGGCTCAGCAGTGAGATCACAAACACAGACAATCTGTAAAAGCAAATTCTCCTGGAGCAGACAAGGGAGGTTTTGAAGCTTTGGAGCTGACAGCTCCTGAGGAACATCAAAATTCCCACTGGTGAGGTGATATGATCTCCAAAACACCCAAACCAACCCGTCATTGTTTCAGATCTACCGCTACAACCCTTCAGCTCTCAGCTTACAATGAAGTGTGTGGTACCAGGAAATTACCTGGGAAGAGACATAAAAACAATGCTGCTGAGTTTTATCTCCATTTCTCACTGGTCATGTGGCACCTATTTGGTGGGTTTAATTGAGAGCTTCTTTATCTCAGGGTTTTTTTAAGAGCTGAAAGAGAATTTCATTTGAATAGCTGAAACATCATGTTAAGGCCCAAAGGAGCTGCTCCGGGGTTCTTCCCAGGGATGTTAATTGAAGTTATATTAGGCTTGAAAGCCTGAGTTACTGTGGAGGGGTGGCCTGGGAGATGTGGAGCTGCTCCTCTCCCAGCTCCAGCCCAGAGGATGAGAGTGCTGGGCCACCACACCCTTGGGCCACACTGATATAGAAAAACAACGTCATTGCGTCACCCAGAAAAATCTCAACATGAAGAAATGTAACATTTTACTTTGATTAAGTGCCCCATTTTGGTAATTCAAACCAAAAGTGTATTCCTTCTTTTCCCAGCCAAAAAGCAGGACTGGGAGATCAAGATGGGGGATGGGAAAGCACATCCCTGGTTTAACCTCCTTGGTCCCAAGGAGCAGCAGCGGCAGCCAGGTTCTCTACACCCCTGGTTGGGCTGCTCTGTGCCCAGCCTGGGCTGGCTTGGGATAATCTGTGTGCTGGGCTTTGCTCCTGACAGCCTGCCCCCCTCTGCATGAGGAGAGGAGCAACAATCACAGGATGGTTCAGGTGAGAAAAGACCCCAGTGGCCCATCCGGTCCATCCCCCTGCTCAGGTAGGGTCTTCTGGAGCAACTGGCACAGGACTGTGTCCAGATGGTTGTGGAACATCACCAGTGAGGGAGATTCCACACCCTCTCTTGGAAAAAAAACCAAACCACTCAGAGTTTAGTGGCACAGGGCGTGTGCTGGCTCAGTGCCCACAGGGCTCTGCCTGAGGCAGGGGCAGGACATGTTCCCCACTCCAGAACACAAAGTCTGGAGTGCTCTCCCACCTGGAATTAGAGGGAGTTAAAAGCAACAGCTCATGTATTATTAAAACAGCAAAGTACTGCCTGCAGGAGGGTAATTTTTTTGGAAATATCAACCTCATTCCTATATCCTGACCAGAATCCAACTGTGTTTTTTAAAGCAGTGTTAAGTTCCCCACGATGCTTATAGAGGTACCACAGAATGCTGTTTTCACAAGGTGCTTTTCAACACCTGAGACCCAAGCTAAACCCACCACAAACAACTCTGTTTAAGACATGAGTGCAGCCTCTGCTTTGCTACTAAATGAAAATCCAACAACCTGAAGGTAAAAAGATATTGACCCCTTAAGGAGGCTTGTATAGGGAAGAAGATGTTTCCAGAACAACCAACCTATTTAACTTAACCATGGTACTGAAACATGAGCTGTGAAAACAGTAATATTATCCACAGAGACTTCATAGTTACTTTGTCCTCAGTCTTCACATTGCACCACATAACCCACATCCCCTCTTCCTCCAGACTCATCTGTTTGCTCATGTGTGAGGTGAAGACACTCTCAGCTCTAAAACACTGAACTTACAAGCTCAGTCTAATAAATGTGACTAACTTAACCTTATTGCTAGACAAATTAAAAGCAAGCAAAGGGACATGTGGCTTAATTAAAGCTCTTGGAGGCGGTAGGGCAATGGTGTGGTGACTCAGCCTGAGCCATGGGCTGTACGGGGGGAGGACAGAGCCTTAGCTCTGGCGTGAGCCAGGTGAGACCCCAGATACAAACCAGTCCCTGTTTTTCTGTGGGAACTTATTAAAAGACTTCACAGAGACCTACAAAGGAACTGCCTTGTGTTTCCATGAGCTTCTGGTGTGGATCCTCAGAAGTGTCTCTGAGCTCTTTCATCCTGTTTCTCTGGTTTCAATCCTTGGCACAGCCAACTTCCACCCCCACATCTGGTCCCACCCCCACATCTGGTCCCCACCTGGTTGTTCTGGCTCCACATCTCCTGTTGCAAGAACCTTGCTGATCCAGCTTCAGCCACCTCTTCCTTTCCCAAAGGGAGCTTTGCCCCTGCCCCTGTGCTATCACTGGGAGCTGCCTCAGCCCCCTCACAGCACACAGCATCCCTGAACAGATGGCTCCATAGCTTCCCCCCATCTAAGGCATGAGAGAAGTTTGGACACTGTGTATGCTGTTACGAAAAGCTGAAGGACCAACCCACTCCTAGGAACCTGGGGCAGTTACCAGGGAAGCAGTCTGCACCCTGCTTGGGATCTGCTGCTTGGGATGCAAATGCTGCTCAGGCTTTAAAAATTAACACACAGCTCTTGCCACTCTATCCACCCTGACATCCCCGAGCCAGTATTGGATGTTGCCAGGAGCAAGCAGAGACAGAGGCATATTCTGCTCTCCAAAGACAGAACTCCACACAACAAAGCTGTTGTCTGCATGTGGATCTTCAGCACCATCCCAGCAGCCGGACCCCGGGTGATGCTCAGGCTGAAACAGCCAGCACAGATCCATGGAAGGCAGATGGGGCTGGAGGCTCTCCAGGGCTCACTGCCCTGTGCAGAGCATGGCCCAACACCACGGGCACAGGACACCAGCTGCAGCCTCCTCTGACCACTCCACCCCAGGCAGCAGCTCCCCAGACTCCCCACACTCCAGGGAGCAGCTCCCCCTAGACTTCCCACGCCATCCCCATGCTGTCCTCACATCTGGATCTGAACAGATCGCATTCACAGCTGAATTACTTTCATCAACCATTCAATACTTGTCTGCTCTGGGTTTTTTCCCCTGATTTAACAGTCATGTAGTGTCTCATCTTGGACTGTGTACATTAAAACCAGTTTTGCTGTGGCCTAGCTCCTGTCTAGCAAAGGAAAGTGTCAGGCCCTGTAATGTCCAGCCATATAACAGGGGTTTTTAGCTTATTTGAAAAGAAAAAGCAAAAATGCCCAGACTCGGTGTTTGCTCTGGGATCAGCTAAAGGCAGCAGTGAGGAACACACCTGCTATTCTCTTCCTCCTGAAGCCTTTCAGAGCAGTGTGTTACATAAACCAGCCTAAGGAGACTCCAGAAGGAGCCAGTGCTGCCGCGTTGCCACAGCAACAGAGTGCAGGAGCAGCTCCGGGCTGGGGGGCTGCCACATACCTTCCCAAAGTGCTCGATCAGGATCTCAACCACGATGTTTTGGAACTTGATGTTCATCATCGCTGCCACAGTGTCCTCCTGCGCTCGCATGAGAGTGGGCCCGAAGATCACCCCCATGTTGGACGGTGACATCAGGTTCTCCCGGCTGTGCTCACAGACACTGCAGAGAGCAGGGGAGAGACAAATAAGGTTTGGTTTGTTTTTTCTCCAAACACATCTTATTACAAGCCCTAAAAAACCAGGATACAGTAAGAATCAGTCCTTCAATTTTCTTCACCGTGTTTCAGGAGTACTTGTTTCCCAGCAGAGACAAACACGGTTCTAGCTCCGACATGCACATTTGGCTTGGACAGCTGCTGGCGAGAGCAACGTGCTGACAGCATTTTCATTTGATCCCTTCCCACTCCCAGCTCCACTTTAACTCTGCAATCAAAAGTCATCTGCACAACACATACACAAAAGGACTCAACAAAGGAATCATTTAAATCCTATATTCTATTTATCCAGAACTAATTTCTGGCTTTAATTTTCCTTCTCTCTGAAGGAAGAGCACTGAAGGTAGGGAGCACACTTCAGTGGTTTCCAATAAATCTCTGCACAGCATCTGCTCTCTGAGAGACCCCAGTTCCACATGGCAGAGCTCTGCCTGCCCAGCAGTCCCCCAGCTCTGGAGGAGGGTGGAGCCTGCAGGGCAGCCCTAGATGTTGGCTGCAATACAAACCATGCAGGTGGGCACTGCCTCAGCCAGAACTGGGCCTGAGGAGAGACTGGTGATGAACTCTGGCTTTTCCCTGTAGCTCTGGCCTTAAAGGGTTCTATCTCGAGGAGGAGAGTGAAGAGAATTTAATAGTAAACACTTTAAAGAATAAACTCAGTGACCACAAGCATGACACCAGCCTCATGGGGCACTTGGTGCATTCACGGTGCACACCAGGCACTTGGCTCAGCCTCGCACACAGAAAGGCTCCTAAAACCACACAGACAGATACCTGAAAGGTTGAAACCAGCTCGCAGGCAGGGTCCCCCAAAGCAGCCTCCCTGAGGGACCACGGCATTGGGGCATGGCACTCCCCTTCATGTGTCAGGGTGACAGTGCCAGGTCAGCCCCGCTGATGGAAACAGTCCAAGTTTGAAAACAGCTTCTCCAAAGCAATTCCTGGAGCCCAAAGTGTTGTCCCTGCCCATCAAATCTTTGAGTCTGGAGTGACAAGGAGGCAGGAATACATCCATTCCCAGTGCAGTGCTGGTGCCATGATCATCAGTAACAGGCTCTTTCAGTGGCTCACAGCTGGAGCCACAGGTCACTGCTCAGTGCCACCAAGCACCCACTGCCACATGCCTGTGCCACAACCTGACCAACATGCTCACGTCTTCCTGCTGCTCTGAGGGCTCAGGACATTGATCCACAGAGCTGAAGATAAAACCAAAGGTCCACATGCAGCCCATGGGCACAGGTCCCACGGCCATTCCCAAATCTCAGACCTAATATTCCTGTTACCTGGAGCAAGAGGTGAGATTTAGAGCCCTGCTCTCAAGAGGGTATTTTAATTTTAAAATAATTTCCTGCTCCATTTGTGTCAGAAAGGGGTGGAAGGGGCAATCAGAAAGAGAAGCATCTCTTCATGCAGAGGGTAGCAAGGATAATCACCTCATTTGTGCAGTCCACATGGAAATTCCCAAGGGGGCTGTGGTGAATACAATTTTGCAAACCTAACCCCAAAAATGGCTTGTTCTGCTGATTCCATTATTCCCTTTCTTTGGTTTTAGAGGAAAACATCTGCTTACTTGACGAGGTGCTGGATGAGGAGCTCCAACATCTCCCTGTTCTTGTCAGGCAGTTTGTACACCAGTGCATGAATAGCTCCCAGCCTGTAATCCAGGTTCTCGGACTCTGGAAAGCAGGAACACAAAGAAGAATTTGTGCCCACCGCTTTCAAAGTAAATACACCAGGGAAAGATAAAGCCAAAGGAAACCTGTGGGAGCTGTTCTTTGTGCAGTGTGAGAGCAAGAGGGAGAAGAGGGAAGTGAGACTTCACAGCAACAGGGTGAACACTGGGAGAAACAACATGAAGTGGAAGAAGGAAGAAATAGAGCTTGAAAAGGAGCTCAGGGCCACACTCCAAAAGAGGCTGGGCACAGGCAGGTCCTGCCCTTCACACCCTCACCCTGCACACCTGGGAGCACACAGCCCCTCTCAGTGTCTTATCAGCCCAGAGAGCTCTAACACTGAACAGCACCTAAAATATCCTGCAGGGAAAAAACCTAAGTCCCTGAACCAGAGAGGTCACCCTTAGAAGCATAAATAATCCAGAAACAATAAAATGTTCAGTGTCAGAAGAATGGTATGGGATCTAGTGGCTGGGAAGCTCAATGCTGCAAGTTTCTGAGGGAGGGCAGTGAAGGGATCAGGGTCCTGCCCAGACATCATGGACTTAACCAGTTCTTAAACTAATAAATCCTGGGCTTTATTGAGCACCATCAGCAGGTGGTGGAACATTTCCCTTTCCAAGAAAGAATGGGTGTTATTCATTCTCCAGGGAGCCAAATGGAGGAGAGGTGGCCCCTCCCGTCCCGCTGACTTCTAGGAGGCACAGGGGAGTGAGGGATGCTCTAATGGCACATATTTCTGAATGGCAGCACTCCCATGTTGAGAGCAATGACCAGCTTCCTGCATCCCTGTCTCCCTCACAGGACACTGGCTCCCAACATGCTCTGAGGATGCAGCCGGTTCACAACTGTCACAGCTTATCTGCAATGGCCACAGTGAGGGGACAGTGGAGGATGGGCCAGCTCAGCACACGTGAGGGCCTGGCAATATACCTGTGCTTCCTGGCTGACCTCTGCTATTCCTGGCTGTAGCTCAATCCCAAGAGTTGCAGCAGAGAAATGTCTTTCATGTGCTGGTAGACACTTTGAATTCAACATCCCAGGACAAATTTCACGACCTAAAGGGAGCACCTATCTGTGTGCTATCTATGTGCCAACAGCACATCCCATACCCTCATGGGTTTTAAAATAAATGTATCAATACTATAGGGCAACAATTCTTGTAGGACTGTTGTGCTGCTCTCAGGTGAGTGACATACCCTGGCTCTCAAGACCCCCTGAGAGCATGAAACCCTGTTCAAAGGAAGGGCACTGCAGCAGCAAAGGAAAGAAGGAAAACCCACCTCCCCTGCACAGGTAAGCACTTAAAAAGAAGGGTGACTGCTATTTGTGCAGGGGAAGCAGCTGGACACCACGGAGTTGGGCTGGCAGAGCTCTGCCAAATGATTTTGATGGACCCTGTGTGGGATGGGCAGGGCCAGGGACCATCACGGGGGGCACCTGTGGCACTTACTGGCAGCCAGGACCAGCTCTTTGTGGAGCTTGTATGTCATGACGGGTTCAGACAGGTTCCTGCAACAACCAGAAAGAAAACTGAGTTCTGCAGGGCAGCACGATCCACTCGTCACCGATCCTGGACCGACGGGAAACCGGCTGGTCCTTCAGTGCGGTATCCCTGAAACAGCTCTCCCCGTGGCATGGGGGGGTTCTGCAACACCCATATTTATCAAAATCCACTCCTCTTCCCCAAGCCTTTGTGACTTTGCCCTTTCCAATAGCCAGATGTAAACATCTAGCAAATTACTCCACTTTTCACCTGGACAACCCCAGGCTCCTTTGCCCCCTCGGGGCAGGGTCGACCTGCAATGCTACCTGAGATAGAACTTCAGTGAGCTGGTAATGGTCTTGATGTCCCAATCCCCACTCTGGAGATCCACGTCCCCGGGGCATTTCGGATCTGGAGGAAAAACAAAATGGTTTTAAAATAAGGTTCATTTAGAGGTTGTTTATAAATAGTCTGCTCTGGTGGAGTCTCCCCTCGAGACATATGAAGCCACGGCAGCACACAAAGAGAGCTTCTGATTCCCATGGCTGGGAAAAGCAGAACAACAGCACCAGTGTCAGGACTTTGGAAAGGCTGGAGAGCAGTGCTAATGAGGGACAAGGGGGGAAACAGAAGATAAAATTTAAGCAGTGCTGAAAAGTCAGTGACGACGTATTCTCTATAGTTTGCTTTTTCCCAAGACTGGCAGAAAAAACACATTTCAACAGGCCCAAGACAAGCTTTCTGACATCCATAGTAATCTGAGTGCCAGCTCCAGTGCCTCCTTTGCTCCCCTGAATGCTGTTCTGGAAGCATTCCCTCTCACTGCACGGAGAGGAAGGGGCTCAGGGGAGGCCCAGTGGTGTGGAAATACAGTTTGCTCCTACCTATCCTCCCTGAACAACCACATCATGTCTCTGGTGCCATGAAGTGAAGGATGTGGTTGCAGGATGGGGGGCAGCTAGACTAAAAAAATAAACAGCTGGATTTATTTTTAAAAAGCAATAGGACTAGAAACAAACAAACAAAAATCTAACTCCTTAGAGCAGTTCAGGTTGAAATCCTGCTGCAGCAGTTATTTCTGTGGTGTTGAGCTTTCCATCGTGCATTCATACCCAGTGGGGTGGCAAGGGGTTATCCAAGCCATGCAGATAAACAAAACAAAAAGCCACTTACTGGTGTGGTTTGGAAGAGAAAACCAGAGCTGCTCACAGGGAGGGTGAGAATCAAGCAGCAATAAAACTTGAGGCTCAGCAATGAGTCACAGGTGAGTGGAGCCAGGCAGCTGCCCCAAGTCGTGGCTCCATGAGAACTGGGCACAGCCAGATGCCAGCACAAACCAGCATCTTAATAAACAACATCCAGAGTAGGAGCAATAAGAAACAACAGCCAAAGGCTTTGAATGCTGCATTAATATCAGATGTCTGAGCTGGGGCGAGCCCGAGGCACTGAGGTAGTGAGGTGATCACACTCCCTGCCCTGTGCTCCAGCCCCCAGGCAGGGCTGCAGAGAATGGCTCAGCCTTGGGCACACGGGACCAAGCCCAGTGCTCATCTGAGGGGTCGTGGGTGACCACGGGGTCATGGCACGATGGCCTCAGCCAGGTCCCAGCCTAGGAGCATCTGTGCCAGCACAGAGCTGCACTGCTGAGCCCCACCACCTGCCGAGGGGGTCTCCTGGAAAGACTGCCCCCAGCTGCCACGTTTGTATGACAGACAGATCCAGTCACAGGCAGGCTTACAGCAGGAATGCATCCATTGACTTCTTAACATGTACACTGACTCTTAACGCACACAGTGAGGTGTCCCCTTCATTCCAGGGGAAAAACCTTACACCAGGATGGAGGCCTCCCTGCAGAGGTTGCCTCCCCAGTCCAGCTCACTGTGTTATCCCAGTCCAGATCACCAAGATATAGGAAAGAAGGGGAAAAAGCCCAGGAAAGGAGGGGAAGATGTGACTCAGAGGGGTTGCAGGGACCAAAACCCACAATGGACATTTCTTATTGTGGTACCCGATCCTCTCTGTCACTCCCCAGCAATTCAAAACTGGGACAGGGTAATTGCATGGAATAATTAATTCTTACCAAAAAAGGCATTCAGCAACTTCTGCACCTGGATATTGCTGCCGACAGTCCGGTACACACCCTCCGTGGTGATTCCTAAGAGGACAAAGCCAGGAGCGTCAGCCAAGGTCTCCCCGCTGGTTGGAAGAACCAAGGCCCCCTCTAGTGGAACTGCTCTCCCCGCTGCCGGGCTCTGTCCCACAGCCCGGGCTCTGCAGGACCACAGCACGGTCCGCCCGTGGCACAGACCAGCCCAAACATGCCATTTCTGGGGGGTGCAATTTCAACATGAATTTGCTCAAACCCAGAGAGAAGACAAACACACTGAAGTAGATTCTGGAAACACTGGCCAGTGCTGGGACAGGCAGAGCCACTGTCTCTCCCAGCTCTGTGAGCAGGGTCTTTGTCACCCCATTGCTCCCCACTCCAGCAGGCCTTGGCTGCCACAGCCCCAGAGGTTCTGAAATGAACCCAGACACCATTCCCTGCAGCAGCCTGGGCATCCAGCAGTTCTGAGGGATTCACCCTACTCCAGCCCATTCCAGTGAAGTTCACTGGATGTTCACTGGTGCAGGCTGGGTTACACGGGACAGCCCAGAGGATGAGCTGCCACCCCTCAGCCTGCTTCTGTCCCGCTGCTTCACAGACTGGGGCTGAACAACCTGTACCCTCCTCAGCTCTGCCTGGCCCCCAGCATGGGCTGTCAGAGCTGTTCTCCTGCTGCCCAACAGTGGGTGTGCTCAGAGCCAGAACTGAGAAAAACAGGAATGAAAACAGCATAAGGGTGAAAGTTCAATCCCAACCAAATTTTGTATGACAACGTTCCAGACTACATAGGATTTCTGCTCCTGAACAAGCATTCTTCAGCTAAAAGCCAAGGGTCCTGTGTCAGTGACTAACAAACACTACTACAGGAACTACAAGGCCACGGGGAGCAGGGCCAGGCAGGCAGCAATTCCTGACAGCAGGGTGAGCCCCTCACCTTTCGTCTCCACTGCGTTGATGCACTTCCGAACAAACTTGAAGCCGACCTCGTTCAGCTCCACTGTTTTGGACAAGGAAGTCACATTAGCTGCCTGAGCACCTCTGGGACACCCCCAGCTCCAGCCCCAGCCCCTCTCAGCACCCCAAGCTACAGCACCCCAGCTCACAGATATGTTCACACCTGCACCCACATCCCATACATTCCTCCAGGAAAACACCAGCATTCTCTACATCTTGACAAGCAGTTATTAAGTTTCATGTGTTCTCCCATTTCCCCTTGAATTTATTTCGAGTTGCAGCGCTGCTCCCTATCCCCTCTCTGTCTTTAATAATAGCAGTGTAAATCAGGTCCTGCCACACGTGAATTGTGTCTGATAAGGACTTGATCAATCACTTCCAGAGCAAAATTTGCAGTTGAAGCTCTTCCCCATCATGCAATCATGTATTTTCTGTTTATCTACATCACTAGAATTAAAAAGCAAAATGAATCCAGCCTGATGTGTTGAGGAAAGCAGAGCACGTGGCTTGTTCCAGCCAACTACCCACAGTCCAGCTCTGAGCCTCTTTCTTTTTAACTTAAAACAACATTTTGCTGGAAAAAACAGCCACAGGATATATCTGGATCAATCCCAGTCCAGCACAGGCTGGTTGGTATTGGTTCTTTCTTCTCTGAGTAACAGCAATACCAAGCTCAGATGTTTCTTAGTCTTACCGCAGGAATCAGCACAGACCCCTCGGTGCTTGCTACCGAGGGCTGTGATACACTGGAACACTTACCAGCTCTAATCTATTAACAGTAGAGAGTGTTTGTTGGGTGAAACCCTGAGCCACACTCCTCCCAGTGTGCGATATGAACACGGCTGCACAGCAGGTTTGTGCTCATGCCCCCGTGCTCATTAGAGCCAGCTAATTGCAGTGCTGATAAAGTAAGCTGAGATGGAATGGAGGTTTCACCCACCTAATGAGGCTCTGGAGTGTTTCAGGGCTCCCAAGGTACAGCCCACTGTTGAGAGGGGGGACATGGGACATGGTGGGGGGTGGGACCTCCAGGGAACTAAATGCCACCTCTATTACCCTATTACTATCTTTGCTAAGGGACATATTCTCAGAATCTCTCATTGATCTTTTCCCCTCTGTTACGCTGGGGTTTAGAGGTGCAAATTGAAGCCCACATCCCACTGCTCCTGGCTAAATAAAAACTGCTCATCGCATCAATAACTTCTACTGTCTGCAACCCGATCTTATCTGGGCTCAGTGCCAGACACTGTGACGCAAGGACAGAAGTGACACTGCCACCACAGAGGGGGGACACAGTACTTGGCAGCAACTGAGAATGAGAATATGTGCAAGGAAAACCCTGCCCAGCCTCTGGACAGCTCCAGGAGCCCAGATAACAGTAACAGAAGTGACTCACTTTCTTCCTGCTTCGTAATGGGACTGTGGTAGATCTGAAAAAGGGAGAGGGAACGGAGGAAGGAGAAACAAAAACATCATCAGCATAATTTGGTACTTATTTCTGAAAGAAAATGCAGCACTTGATAAATCACCCATAGATTACCCAAAGATTATCCATAGATCACCCACACCCATAAACCACCACAGATCATCCATAAATCATCCATAAATCACCCATAGGTCACCCATAAATCATCCATAGATCACTCAGAGCCAATCACAGCCAAAAAGACAATGTCCCATAGAAATGTCATTTTACAACTAAGCAAGATCCCATTATCTGCACAAAAAAGAGTTTCTAATGCCTCCCTGCATTTCCTTGGGGCACCTGTTGCTAGGAAATTCTCTGTTCTGTAGGCAAACTGCAAGGCTCTGAGCTTTTCTCAGACTGAAGGAAGGAAACCCCAGTAGGCACAGAAAGCTGGGAGAATGTGGGTGCAGGGTGGGCAGCCCCACCTTTCCAAAGGCTGCTCAGAGCAGGGACAGACAAAACATCAGTTCCAGCAGGCAGTGAGCAGCAGGAATAGGAGCATCCCAGCCTTGGAAAGGCTAGTCCTCAGGCGAGCTGGTACAGCCAGGGAATGTGCTGAGATTTAGGGGGGACACCCAAAATCCCCAGGGGAGCTGTGCCGAGGGAACAGCACGGAGCCCAAGGCCACGATCTACCAGCAGGTACCATCGGAGAAGCAGGAGGGGCACAGAGCAGGGGCCGTGTCCCCACGTGTCCCCCCACCCGCCGGCAGAGGACACTGCTGGACAGCACATTCCAGCTGGGAACAGCTCCGGGAAACTCACTGGCTCCTTCCCATCCATAGCCTCCATCCACAGCCTTCGGTTGGCTTCCGAGAGAGCCTGCAGCGTGATGGTCCCGGACCTGCGTGGAATTCACCCAGGGACAGGCAGGGAAAGGAAGAAAAGTTGTTTATAATAGACAGCAAAGAGGGATTTGCTCCAGGCCCGTGGGGTCTGGGGCCACATGAACGCAAAGCCTCTCACCTTTCATTAGTTTCAATGTCAAAACAAAACCTTTTGTCTATGGAGTCTGTCTTTCTCCTGACGCAGGATTTCAGGGTCAGGTCCAAGGTGCCCTAGGAGAGAACACGAAAGCCAAGGTGAGAGGACAGAAACACAGGAGAAGATTTTGGGTTCCTCAGCTCCCTGCAGCTCCAGCCCAGCCCAGCACTGCCCACAGATGTCCTGAGAGTCCAACGGCAGTACAAGGAGCACAGGAGGCCCTCCCTCCAACACCACAGGCAGGATCAGAGGCTCTGTGCTCCAGGCTTCCTCTCCTCAGCCACAGAACGTTCTGCACTTCATGGCACTGCCCCACACACCAGCACTGTGCCTCTGCAGCGCTGGAACGCTGCTCCAGCAATCCTGGTGAGGCAGTCCCTGGTGTCTGAGGCCAGAACCGTGCTACCCTGTGATCTGACACTGCTGGGTCCTAAATTTTATCAGGGCTGACCATCATTACCAATTACCCACAACACTGATGGTCATTAATGGCTTTACAAAAACACCATGTGGCAAAGGGACATTTCCTCACCCCACCCAGAGCAGGTGTGCTCTGGAGAGGTGGCTCAGTCCTGGCTCTGGGTGTTCATGTCCCTGTGCTCTGCAGCACAGTCAATTCATAATGTGACTGTGAAGTTGTGTGGCCAGCTGTGACCTGACGGTGCAGATTCCCAGACTGAGAGAGTTTGGGAAAGGCACTAATATACAGGTTTCCGAGCCCTTATCTGCAGTAATTTGCCTTCTTAGACACGCTTATGGAATAGGTGACAACAAATCTCTCCAGACAATAGTTTGGACATTTCTTTGCCCAGGTCTCTGCCAAGGACTTGCAAAACATCTATTTTATTTTCCTGCTAGAGTGTGCAGAGTGCTGCCAAGAACAGACCATGAGCTCATGCACTGGAGCACACACTGGCCTGGGAAGGCCCTGGGGACCCAATCCATGGCAGAGGAGGGTGGGGGATTCAGCTAGAGGCTGTGCTCCATCCTCCCACCCCTTCCCTGTCACGAGGAGGGACTGAGGGAACTCCCAGACTTTGAGTACTTTGTGAAATGCAGCAGTTCCCCAAATCACTACCTTACTGCAGTTTGGAGCTGCACTGCTGCCATCCCCTCCTCTCCTAACACTGTCCCAGTCCCCCAGAACCAGTGCCGAGAGTAGAAAGCAAACTACAAACCAGTGCTGTGAGCACATGCGGAGGCAGGGAAATGCTGTAACTCCTGTAGCAACTTGAGTCATTCAAGCACTTCCGTGGCTGCCAGAGGGCTCGTAAAGCCCAGGTTGCAGCTCACAGCCCATGTGCATGAGGAAAGGATCAATATCAGCTGGTCTAGAGAAGCACAAGCTTCATCCCAGACCAAACTCGTGGGTCAGCACTGTCCAGTACCGCTCACGTCACACGGACCTGCGTCCCGATGCCAAACCCTGCTGGGCCTCAGCTCCCAGGGACGGAGAGGGGTGAGACCTCTCCTCATGGAGGTGGCTCTTTCAGGTGACACCAAACCGCCCTGTGTGGACAAAGCAGAGAGGGGACAGAGCCTTCCCTCTGCTCCGTGGCCAGGAGCCCGCCCATGGGCGCTGCCTCAGGCCCAGCCTGCAGCCGGTGTGGCTGGAGCAGCGGCACTGCCGGACGCTGCCACGGCCGGGCTGGCTGCTGGCCCTGCACGTGGCACCTGCAGGGCTGTCACAGGAAGGGATGCCACAGGCGAGTGAAGGTGAGACCCAATGGCTGGGCCAGTGTAGCAGACATCCAACTCACTTGCTTAGCTCCAGGCTTCTGGTCTATGGGTGTCATCCGTAAGGTTTTTGCCTCTTTTTCATACTGGCAGTAATACTTCACCCAGGAGATGCCCAGTGCCCCTGCGGAACACACGAGAGGCTGCAGTCAGGGACAGGGCTGTACCTGGATGCAGCTGGCAAGGCATGGCTGGTGCTTCCCACATCCTCCCTTCTCTGGGGATGGACACTGACAGCCCTGTGGGAACACCCCCCTCACCAGTGTCTCCACGGGCAAGAGCCAGGAGGAGCAGGAGGAGCAGGAGAAGAGAAGGAGAGGAGGGGAGGAGGAGCAGGAGGAGAGGAGTGCAGGGCAGCCGCTGCCTCCAGCGCCCGCCCTCCCAACGTGCTGCTGGTGAAAGGGCGTCTGTGGAACTCTGGGCACAAGCCAGGCTGGTTTGGCCAAACCTAGCCAAGACCTCCACTGACAGGATCCTATGTGTCCTGAAAGCTTGTTCCATGCACACCACTACTTTTTCATGTTGGTGAAAACTCAGTAATAAAGAAAACAGCAGCTTTAAAATATCTGAAGTTCCTATCTCTATCACACTGGATTTATTGTCACTTTTCTCTGTTGTCTTACCTGAACCCCTTTATAGGAAATACTTCAACTGGTATTTTTTCTGTAATTTGCTTTGAAGTTGCAGTTGTCTGGAGGAACAACTCTTTATGCTCAATTTATATGGAAACATAAACAGAGGTAGCAAATAGCCACTGGCCTGCAGGAACATGCCACAGGGTCTAAATTACTGTATGTGTTTTCTTCTAAAAGCAGGATGAACAGACCTAAAAATATATGTATAAATAGATTTGTATATATCATTAAAAATTAACTGCTCACAAAGTTGTCTCAGTGGCCACAGTTCCGCACAGATTTGTATCCCCTGAGCATTCCTGCTGCAAGGCCATGGAGAGTTGCAGCCAGGGTTTGGAAAAGGCTGAACTTGGTTTAATTTGACTCTGCTCAGAATCACAAGTTTCGCTCTCAGCAGCTTAACTCAGCACCAGTTCCCACCTCAGCTGTGCTCAGCTGCCCACAGAGGCTGAGGCTGGGCAGGACACCAGATTCCTTCAGATAAAACAGCCCAGGCACAGTCTGCCAGAGCTCTGGAGTCACAGAGCCCATCTCATCGGACTGCAGGGCAATTAGCCCTGTGCTGACACGGCTCATGTGACCCAGAGAAAGCTCTGTGCCACTGCTGCCAGAGCTGCCAGCGGGAGCTGCCAGTGCTTCCCCGGGCAATGCAGGCGGTGATGCCTCGGGCACCTCAGGCACCGGCAGGACGTGATGCCCCGTGCTCTGGCAGTGGTGTAACCCTGGGCACCCCGTGTCTTGGCAGTGGTGACACCTGGGGCAGCAGGACTGGCCTGGGCTTGGGAGCTGAGCGCATCCCACAGCAGGGCTACATCAGGGCAGCCCAGGTCTCCACATTCCCTAACACATCCAGGTGCATCCAAAGCCATTACATTTCTCCTGAGTGTAGAGGTAGCCCTCGATGGTCGGCTGCCCAGGGAGCTTGCAGGTTAGGGGCGCTTCCTTCATCCTCTTCTTCAGGTCTTCCAGCTCCTCCCGCGTGCTGGAAAAGTGATTCCTTGTCTGGTAAGAGAAGACAAATAGAAGCACATTTGAACATGAGCAAAGAGTGAGCTCCAAGTATTCCTGGATAAAGCTGAGGTGCTCTGGCAGAAATGAATTGGTCCCCAAGATATAAAATTTGGAAGCCACTCCATAAGTCCTCATGGAAAGTGTGGCTATGAGAAGCACTGGGCTCTTAGAGATGATTGAAGAGGTAAGGTCTGACACAAGGTTTGACACACGATGTGCATGGAGATGGTGCTGAGGAGGCACAGCTGGGAGGTCACTTGTTCCCTCAGTAAAAGAACCTCAGCACATTTCAGGGCTGGGTGGAGCAGAGGCAGCACCTGAGATTCTCTTGGCACCATTGTTCAGGTGACAGGTGTGTTCTCCTCTCAGGGGTGTGGATTCCTCAAAGGTTCATGCTACACTGCTTGGCAGGGGAGTCCTGTCAACATAGGGTACAAAATCCAGGCATTTTGATGGAACACCACTTGGATCAATCAATGAGCCAGCAGCAAACCCAGCATGGCTCAGCTTTATGGCTGTTGTTCCACGGGAAGGAGGGCCAGCAAGGAAAGACTGAGGATAAAGGAAACAGGACCTGGATATTTTACCCCATGAGCCCACCTGGCCAGCAGAGGAGCTTACTAAAGCATGTAGGAAGCCTGTAGTAAGCCAGTATGATTAGGATCAAGGTTAGAGGCCTTTTCAGAGTACAGTTTCAATCTCATTACTCTGGAAGATAATCTCAGGTTTGTTTATGCACCAGGTTAAATGATGTGACTGCAATAGACCCCCTAGACAGAGAAAACACTCTCATAGACCTGCGGACTCTCCTGTGCAGGAGAGGAGGAAACACACATGAGCTGAGAAGGAAATAACTGTATCTGCAACCTCCTCCAGTGGAGACATGGCCAGGCTGCTCGGGTGGAAAGGCCTTGCCATCAGAGGCATGTAAATCCAAATGAGAACAGAAGTCACATGGAAAGTCCTGCAACTGGGCAGGGACTCACATTCTGCAGGCTGAGCTGGAGCTGCTGCTTGTAGGGGAGAAAATCCTGCGTCAGCTCCACTGTCAGATTGTTGTAAGTGAAAAGACTGTGGAGAAATGCCAGCACCTGCAACGAGGGAAAGGGCAGACTGAACTTCTGTATTTCTAATTGGAGGAAGGATGGACAGGGTTTCAGAAATTTCAATTATTTTTTCCTTGCAACTTCGGAGTGATGCCAGCCTTGGCATGACCTATCAAACACAGTGTCCCTAAAGACCAGGCTACCACCCATGTATCTATCTGAATAAAACACTCCCAGAGTGAAAGACTCTGAGGGGAGACTCAGAGCAGATCTGGAGAGTGCTCATCCACAAAACCCACACGATCCCACCACACCTGGCACCTGGGCAGAGCCACCACCCAGGTCCCTGCACTCAGCCACAGGCTGGGACCACGGCAGGCCAGGCCATGGCAGGTGAGCGGAGCAGGTAACACATCAGCACATCTGAGCACCAGCCAGCAAGGCTGAGAGAAAAGGAAGCTCCTACCGGCTCCACAATACTGAATTTCTTGCTTTCTTGTACTTCCTGGATCTGGTACACATACTCGAGGGAGGACTCAAAGAAATTGTGTCTCTCTTTGTCCACCTGAAGGTCAGCCTGGAAGAAGGAGGGAGAGGTGGAAAAAGAAAATATATCACATGTAGTTTTACAATACTTGACTCGCTTTTGTCTGCCAGCCTACAGACAGCTTTGTCCTCACCAAAAACAGCCTGCCAGGTCTCCAGGCCAGGTTTGAACTGGGACATTGCATATTCTTCTCCGTTTGCCTATTTCTGCCTCCCTTTCATTCATGGATCCAGAACCTCACCCCAGTCTGCAAGGACAAGCTTTCCCAAAGCTCATTTGTTACTTTAGCACAAGCCCCTTCCCCACCCGGAGCCCTGGGAGGACAAGCCCACTGTCACCATCCTCTTTCCAGACTCCATCTGCAACCCGGAACCAGCACTTCCAGAGCTGCAGCAGGGCAGGACCATAGGACACATCTCCTCTGACTGCCCCCACAGCCACCCAAAAGCACCAGCAGCATGGCAACACCAGGCCAGCAAAAGAAATAATAACTGGTTATTTCAGCCAGAGCAGTTCCCCAGATGAAAGGGTGGCCAGTCCCCAGCTGTGCCAGTGCCCCTGGTCGCTGCACTACACCATGAGGGTGACAATCAGGTGACAATGCATAAAGCCAGTACCAGCATCCAACACACATGGGAGAACTATGAGCTTGATTTCCCTGGTCTCACCCAGAGAATCCAGGCTTTGAGTAGATTTAACTGATTATCAACTTCAACAGATTACTGGAAGGAATAATTCCTCCTACACTTTTTTCTAATACCTAGAGCAGCTAGTGGTGTTGCTTCTGGACCCAACTCTGAAGGAAACTCCATACACACCTCCTGTAACTGGGATTCCTTCTTTTTGGAAGACAAATGCAGGTGGCGATCCAGCATAGAGTAAAACTTCTCACCATCCTTCTCAAACTTTTTCTTTCTTTCCTGTGAGATGAAACAGGACCCGTTACTGGCATTTTCCAGATAAGAACATGCATCAACATCAAGATCCTTCATTCTGTATACCCATAGACAAATTCTCGTCAAGCCAGCCAAAACAGAAGGTCACTTCAATTCACTTTGCTTTCACTAACTGCCTACCTGGATGCAGTTACACCTCAGGACCCAGCTCTGGCAACACTCTGTGGCACAAAAAGTATTTTGTAATGTTAGCATTGTGGCAAAAGCCCCCTGATGAGGTGTTTTTCCCCCTCTTAATCTCTTCAGCATCCAGTAAACTTGAGATGTGTTCACACATCAAAACCCTGTTCACCATCTGCTGATGTGCTCAGGTCAGAAAACAACAGGGCAACAACAGTCAGAAACACATCAAGGTCAAGGAAAGATTTGTTAGAGTTTGGCAGTTTTCTGTTCTGAAGCTTTTACCATGAGTTTCTGAAGAGTAGCAAAAGGAAAGCAGAAGCCTGTAAGGATGACACGTGGGAGGGAAGTCCTCATCTCCCTGCCAGCAGAGGTGCAAAGAGAACACAAGAGCAACCAGAGACACTTGAGAAGGAAGCCCTGAGAGAAGGCAAGGAGCAGCAGGGCTGAGGACCAGGATGTTGGCTCCTGCCTTGCACTGACTAGGAAACCACAGAGGACTCTGAAATCAAGACACAACCATGAGTAGAGCCCAGGTTGACAAATAGCCACATCAGATGGTAACTGAGCCATCAGGGATTGCTGGGACTTTTTAGCAACTACATTGCTAAAATCAGGAAATTCCAGCCTGGCAGCAGCCTCAGTGCCAGATTCAAGCAGCTGAGCACTGGTATGTACATACTCCAGGGTATATATAGGATGTCCAGATCCTCTGTCTGGCTTTGGAAAGCTCAAGAAGGTAGAAAGCAGAATTAGGAAATCCCACCTTCCTGAGAATTAACAGTACCTTTCAACATCTACCTCCTGAAAGCCCTGAAATCCTACTCTCTTGCCTCCACTCAGAAATTCATGGATATGCAAACACACACCAGTGCCACCACAAATCAGAGATGGACTTAGCCAGACTGGTAGGTACTAGGGATTTTCCTCATGCATTCAGTAGTGACTGCAGAGTTTGCAGCTTCCCCTGCCATGAAGTTTTGCTTCCCCATTCCACTTGCACGGACTACTCCATTTGTCTGTCGGGATGTCCTCCGTGGCAGGATGCCTGGGGGCTCCCAAAACCCATACCTGGGCTCAACACAGTTGGCTCCCATTAACAGTAACAAGTGTTCCTGCCAGCTGCCTTTCTGGGAAAAGGAATTCTCACCTCACAGGAGTCCTGACTTGGCTGTTGGAAAAGCACAATTACCATGGGGAAATGCAGAGACACCAATTTGACTATTCCTGCTTATACGTAACTGTCCAGAGCAGGGCAGCCTTAACCAGCAATTACAACTTCTGCCCTGCAGCTCCTCGAATTACCAGACCCCTGAAGGGAAGTGAGTCTTCTGGAATCACACCCTGCAATACTGGGTACTGTGACTCTGCGTTAGCAACTTCACGCCTCAGAACAGAGAGATCCACGTCAAATCCAGAGGAGTAGAGAGTCCTCCAAGCGTGAAACCTAATTTAAGCAGTCCTTTTATGAATACATTATCTCCTACGGAAGAACTTTTGACAAATGCTGCAGCTATTCAGCATCCCTGAGCACAGTGAACATTCCTCCCGCCCTTACAGTGCATCCAAAACAGTTTTTCCCCTCTGACTTTTTGGTTTGCTTTGTGTTTCTGCTTTTGTGTTTGGGTCTTCTTTTTTTTAAAAAAAAGCTGTCTCCTTCCAAGTGGAATTGGAATGAAACTTTTCCTATTCAAATCCTCCTCAACACAGTGAGTGCAGCCAGGCTCTTCCAAAAGTACTCCAGCCCCACGGTGTGGAGCTGAGTCCCAGGGCTGTGGGGAGGGAGGGGCAGGCTCCTCCGTGTGTGTTGGCTCCTTTCCACACTCACCCCCGCCATAAACCCCCTCTGGCTCCTCGGCTTTCAAGCAGATGGAGGTGCCAGGGCTGGGAAATGGGTCAGCTCAGAGGGTCCTGGATCCTTGCTTTTATCTATGACGTCTGCACATATACACAGTGATCAGCAAGTCACGGGGAGAGCAGTGATCCCACGGGGCTGTGGCAGTGGAAGGTGGTTGGAGGGGGTCCCAGTGGCAGCCCAGGGGCTGCCCTGTGTGGGAGCACACCCTTTGCCCAAGCAGATTCCATTCGTCCCGGGAAAGCGGGTGAATGCGGGCTCAGATGTGCTGGTCAGACCGACTGGCTGCGCTCCAGCCAGAGGCATCACAAAGCCCCAATTCAAGGGCTCTTCCTCTCTGGCTCCAGCAGCTCACACAGGGAACAGAAAACATCTCACAGAAGGTGACACTGCCAAAATACGGAAATGAAGCAGAGGGCACAATTTCCCTTTGTCACGTCTCCAGCCTGTCCCACAGCCCAGCCCTGGCCTCTGCCCTGGTGTGGGTCAGGAAGGACTCTGGGGTGGTGCCAGTGAAGGACCTGTGCTGACAGAGCCCCACTGTGAGGAGCCTTGTCTGTATTTCACACCTTCTGCTGTGGGATGGCGATGACCCACAGGAGCTCTGCAGGCTGGCAGGTGAAGGAAGGCTCTGTGCCTGGAGCGATCCCTGAGGGTGCAGCCCACGGGCTGCGGGCCAGTGGAGTGGCACAGGCTCCTGTCAGGGAATCACTGGAGGTGAGGGCAAGGGCCTGGAGTGGCTGAGGCTTGTTCCCAAACTCACAGTGCCTCCAGGCTGTGGGGCAGTCCTGGGAAAAGCAGAACCTCTCTGTGCATCCCTGTCAGCAGAGGCACACCCAGATCATGGCGGGTGCAAGGTGCTGCCCTGCGAGGTCCCAAATGGAGCACTGGGGTTGAGCCATGGCACAGCCCTCTCTGCACCTTGTATTCCTCACAAGACACAAAACCCAGAGCCAAACCACAATGACCTGTGAGCCACCCGCAATGACTCCCTGCCCTCTGCCACCTCTCCAACTGCTCTGAGCAGTGTCCTGCCGCTGTCACCACCTGACACCTCCACCTGGAGGGCCCTGTCTGTCCGCAGGGACCAAGGAAGGGCTGCAGGCTGTCAGGGGAATTGGTGTCAGTGCTCAGGTCCCTCCACTGCCAGGGTACAGCACCAACCCTGCTGGGCACAGCCACTCTGGAGTGGGAGATGGGATATGTGGCCCATGGGTGCAGGCAGCTCAGCTCTCGGGGCACAGCACGCTCTGGGCTGTGGACAAAGGGATCCTTACACACCGTGAGGGCTCCCTGGGAAGGAAACAGTCAGAGGGACACAAGACCAAGGGCTGTGGCTATGGCTTGTCAGAGAGTTAAAGACACCCAGCCATGCAGGGGATGGCAAAGGGCAGGAGGGTGATCGAGTACCTCTTCTCAAACCCTGTATTTATTAAACGTCAAAGCCTCCAGATGGGCTGGGCTCAATCCAAGCCTCAAGTGTTCTCCAAAACATCTCCATTTCGGAGCTGGGTCAGGGCCAACTCCATTTCAAGCTGCTGCCGAGTAACGTGGAACCTGGATTTCGTGATAGCAGACAAGGGAAAAATGATCTTTTCTGCTCCATATGTGCAGAATTTACTTTTTACAGTTTGTTTCTTTAAAAGTTTGGTCCAACTGAAAGACTCATTAGATGCTTTATGTAAATATTTCATAACAAATGCCCTATGACTATAATCAGGTTCTGCCTGTCAGCCTCTGCTGCTCTCCCCTCTTCCCTCCCTCCCCCTCTACCACACACTTCTCTGCAGAAAGTATTTTATTCTCAGTAGCACTGAGTGAACAAAGGGGAGAGGAAAGAAAGCAGCAAGATGGATCTCCTCCTGATCAAAACAAGCACTCCTTGCTCAGAATGGAGAGAGTTCGGGAATCAGGCCAGGAGAGAACCCAAAGAATTCAGAAAAGGTTTTGGAGCCTCTTATGATTGAAAAATCAGACTAAAAGTCACAGCACGAGCCCTCGTGCCAGCAGCTGAAAGCCAGCATTGAACAGGGAGTTTCTGAGAGCCTGAAGTCAGAACGTAGTACAGCAACTGTCTGCTTGTTCACAACAGGAAAAAAAATCTGAATTCAGACACAGTAACAGAAAACAAATCTGTTTACATTGAAAAGAAAGAAAGAAACAACCCTTACCTTGGTGAACCCTATCTGCTCCTTCCGGAAGTTTTCCAAAGGTTTGATTAGCAAATCACTTGCATTCTGCACCTACAGTGCAAAGAAAAAACACTTTAATTGTAGGACACGGATCAGTTTTCTCCTAAACAGAGGCTCTACAGGGCTAGAAGCCAAGAACTCTCATATTTTAATGTGTTTGACTGCAAACTTCTCTGTCTGTAGGTGAAGTCACTTAACCCATCTGTGCCCGCTCTTCCCCATCAGTAACACCCAACAACCCCCAACCACAGCACAGGAGGCTTCAGGGACATCCCCCATCCTGATCTTACAACACTGCTCTCAAAAAATTACAGACTTCCCTTCTCCCAAGATCCAGACAAATCCAGCTAGGGAAAAGGGAAAGCCTGCCTGTGACTCTTCCATTCTCATCTTATGTCTGAGACATGCTTTCCTGGGACATACTCTGCACTCCCTTTCCATGAATCCACAGGAAAGCTCACTGGCTCCAGCTCCCCCGGCACTGGGACCCATTTGCTGTCTCTCCCCATTCCCACTTCTGTGACAGCTCTGTCCCAAGGACCAGAGAAGGGAGAGGGGAAGAGAAGGGGACAGGACAACACCCTGACACAGCTCTTCAGGGAATTTAAAGCTGATGAACGTGGTGAGTGTGAAATCTCCTGAGAGGCTGCTGTAAACAACTGATCCGACAAGCGAAGGGCAAAAAACCCCCAAGTTTGGAAAGCCGGACAGCACCCACGATCCCTGAAACAACCCCTTCCATGGCTCCCCCACTGCCAAAGAGCCACTGTAATTAATAATAAAGAAGTATCACCAGCTTTCCTGGTTTCCTGCCGTTCCCTGCCTGCCCATGGACCCTCTGGCACAGCCGCCCCTGTGGCACTGGCCCAGCCTGGCATGAGCTCCCGCAGCCGCACGAGGCAAAGGAACACAGAGCCAAGCAGCACATTCCTGGCATGCTGTAAGCTCTTCACCGAGCCTAACCTTCATGTTTTTCCTGGAATTAGGAGTGATATGGGAAGCCAGCACTTGCTCTGGAGGAGCTCTGGAGAGGCAGAGGGCACATGGCAGCGGGAGGCCAACGGCAGTGCATCACCCTGCAGGAGCTGGGCTGGCACGGGCAGGGGATCAGTGGCACAGGGGCACTGCCTGCCTGCACCAAGCAAAACCAGAGCAAGAACACATCTTATTCTTTAATGGTTGGTTTCAGCACAGAACCAGCTGGTGAGGAGCTCGGACACACCTGGCCCTGCAGAGCCAGCCTGCTCCAGCTGCCAGGCCGGGGTCTCCGGGACTGCCTGCACACCAGAGAGGTTTGGGACACTGCCCACGACACCTCAGCCCTCCCAGTGCCTCCCCTGCGCTCAGCTCACCGTGGACCAGGCATGGTACAAAGCACAACATTCCCAGTGCTCCCAGCTACCCTCCAGTGGGAAGCCTCGTACTGAGGCACACGGTGCTATGGGCACAATTTGGCATTTAACCCTGGTGGGAATGACAGAGCCCAGTTTTGATCACCTTACCATCATGGACCTCTCCAGCTCTACCTCGTGCAGCAGCTCTGCAAACTCCTTAAAGGACTCAGCTGTAAGAAAAGAAGAGGCTGGTCAGGGGAGCTGGGACGTGGCACCGGAGCGTGGGACACATGCTGGGACACCCCAATGGGGCTGTGCCCCCAGCATGGCTGGCTAAAGCCTTGCCAAAAAACAGAGAAGAGGCGGCTACTTTTGGCAGAAATGGGTGAGGCAAAGCCACATGCCATCTGGCCACGGGGAGTATTTATTTATGCACTGGAGAGGAGGGGCTCCTGCCCAGAGCAATGAAGGAGAGAAGGGCCTGGAAATGGAAGAGGATGTTAATTAGCTTTCATTAGGAAAGGTGGCAGGGAAGGTGCAAACACGGGGAAGGGGCAGACACTGTCCCCAGAACCAGTAGCAGAACAAGCTCTGCCATATAAGGGGCTGTGGACAGGATGGGGCTGTCTCTCCCACCTGGACAGCTACTGGGAGCACCAGGATGGGCCTGGCACCTCTGACCCAGGAAGAGTTGTAGGTGCTCACCAGGACAAGTGTGTAAAATGAAAACAGCCTGGAATGACAAAGGTCACATTCAGTGACAGGAAGCACAAAGTCTGTGTCCAGGAAGAAAGGCAGCACCTGTAGAAATGGTCATAGACACTGACACCACTCCCCAAAATGTTAAAAGTGAAACAAAAAGGTATCACTGATCAGCAGTTGGAGTCCAACTACAATAAAAATAGCAAGAAAGTTTTCCTTTAACAATCTGAAACAAGACTAATTTAGCCTGGGGTAAAAAAAGACTAGGTTGGAGCAACTGACTTTCCCCACGCCAAGAGGGAACACGCAGCCCCTGTCCCTGCCACCCGAAGAATTCAGGAAGGGGTTAAATTTGTCACAGGAGAGGAAACATCTCAGCAGTAGAGCACTGACAGTGCTGAGCTGAGGGGCTCTGCAAATTCCCAGCTCTCTGGGCTGCAAGGCAAGGCTGGGCCAACATCTGCCCACGCAAACATTGTGCTGGATGCCCGAGGGAACAACCCGATTGCCCCAGTGCACCTGGGAACTACCTGGAGTTAGCTGGGAAAGCTTCTCACAGTTCCAGCCTGCTCAGCACAGCGTGGGATGGGTCTGACAGGTCCCACGCTCACCCTTGGCCTGGTGTGTGCAGCACTGAATGGCTCTGTCAGACCCCCAGAGCGCTGTGCCTGCAGTTCACACCCTCCCTCCCTGTGGCTGGGCTGGGCAGGCAGCACATGAGAGAGCACATCAGGTGTATGGTGAGGGACAGGAACAGCTCATCCCACAGCTCAGGGGAGAGGGTGCTCCTGTGCTCTCTGTGCAAGCTGAGGGCCCTTTCCCCTCATCCACAAGTGTCACCTTCAAAGAGGTACCTGTCCTGCTAAAATCCAACGTGAGAGGATTCACTCTGCAGCTGCTGAGACAGACACAAAAGGGAACAACCGCAGCCTCGTGACACGGGCCCTCAGCCGGCAGCAGCACAACAGACCTTCTTGATGAGTCAGGAACTTCTGAGCTCTCCTCCAGCAAGGGCTCCAGCAATGCAAGGCTGATGGCTCATCGGGCTCACCCCCAGGGCCACACATGGCTGTCACTGTGGCTCCCCAGGGCCATGGGACCCCTGGAGTGCACGGACACCAGTGGCCTGAGCCAGGAAAGGAACTATCACAGGGAAAAAGAGAATACAGCCCTGAACCTACAGGGAATATGTCAGTACCTAAAACATTCCCTAGATGTTTTTTTTCCCTTTGCTCCACAGGAAGAGCCCAGGAACATGTTTCCTGGCTGCAGTCACGGAGCAGCCCACTCAGTTTGTCCCTAACACACCAGGCTCAGATGCTGCTGCCAGTCCAGCAGTGCTCAGGAGCACTGGGATAGATCTGTGTTACTGGTCCGGATCAGCACTTGCCAGCCCCTGCAGCACCTGCCCAGCCACACCTGGGAACTAACACCTGGGAATGCCAGAGTGACTCAGCTGGGCGGCCAGAAGTATGGCAGGAACGTCCTCACAGCCAGGGGATTCCAGGTTCCCATGCCCAGGAGGGAGGAACATGCCATCCCATTTCACTGCTCCCTTCATCTCTGAAGGAGCTGTTGGTTTGGGTCCTATGTGGTGGCAGGAGGCACCATGGGAGTGACAGTAGAGGGACAACAGAGGGGACTGCAGAGGGAACCACAGGGGGGCTACAGGCCTGGGGTAATGGGGGTGTGTCTGTAACCATTAACGTCACCAGGGGAAAGTGCTGCTCACGACAGACAACACCAAAGACAGACAACATCAACCCAGAGTCCTGCCTGCCACCCGGCCGGGTGTCCGGCTGCTCCCTGCCCACACAGCGAGAGCAGCACGCCTTTAGCTCTATTTATTTGCAACCCAAACATGTTCCCTGCAGCTTGTAAGAAGTGCCTGTGAGTGTTTTGCTTCATTCCCATATCCTGCACATCAAATGAGCTCTGTGCTCCCACGCAGATCCCTGGCACCCTTGCAGGAGATGGAAGCTGCTACGGAGACGTCAACGCCCTGCTGCTGTGTCAGGAATAAGGGAGCCTCAGCCCAGCAGGCACAGCAGGGCCTGGGTGGGAGGAGGAACACAGCCCAGGCTTCTTCCCAGGGAAACCAGGGATCTCTTCTTGAAAAGGCAAAAATACTCGCCAGCAAAACTGGCGGGAAATGTGCCTCTTTTCACATGGAGGTTTTTATATGTGCTGTGATCTCTCCTTCTCTCCCCCACCTGTGATACCTCCATTCAACCGCTGTCATTCCCAGCAGTCTTGCTAGGCTGTTGGAGCTTTGTCCCTTCCAGCTAAGAGGAGGGACACTCCTTTCCTTGGAAGGCTGTTTGCCTCAGACCTCTCTGCTCCCAGGAGGGGCATTTACACAGCAGTGTTCTCCCCTCCCTGACTCAGATTTGTTTGGAAACTCAGCACCTCTGCTGCCATTAGATTTGGAGGCTGACTCATTTCCAGTGTGTTTCACCTAGAGACTTTCCATAAAGGAAACCAGCCTTGGAGGGGCAGGCTGCAATCTGCTTCACATGGCTTTAAATACAACAGCCCAAGGAACAGGCTCCACTTCCTTCCCCTTCTGATGGCGTCCGAGAGATCTGAGACCTGACATCAGCAATGTCCCACTGCAGCCACTCTTCAACCACCGCCTGACAAAAGCTGTTTTCTTTTCCCCTGTGTGCAGCCCCAGGAGCAGCCTGGCAAAGACCCTCTGCCCCAACATGGTGAATGCCCCGTGCCTCTGCCTACTGACTGCCCTGAGCCCCCATGGGCAGCCCCAGCCCCTCAGCCTGTCGTCCTCCCTGCAGCCTGCCACCACCACAGCACTCACCCACCCCCTGCCACCCCTGCAGCATCCACCCAGCCCCTAAGCCAAGAGCAGACCGATGTGGAACACGGGGGGCTTGGGGCATTCGGGCCCTTCAGTTCAAGTCCCTGGGGCAGGGGCCACTGTGTGACCCGCAGAGCTGTGCTGGGGAGGGCAGGGATGTACCAGGGCTCCAGGATGTACCAGGGCTCCAGGATCACTGATTCCCAAACAGATGTGCGGGGAGCAGCAGCCCCGCACTCCCGCCACAGGCTGCCCTGCCCAAGGCACAGACTGGCCATTGTTTTCCCTATGAGACACATCCAGCTATCCTTTTTCCCAGCAGTCTGCAGCCCAGTCCCTTTGCAGGGCAACGTGGGGCAGTTTGTCCGGCAGAACGAAGGCAGCTTTGGGAGCAGCACCCACTGGGCTCCACCGGTGGCACTGAGAAGTGGAGCTGGCTGGGAGGTCAGCACCACACTGCCTCCTCCCCAGCACATGGCAGCACAGAGCAGGCCTGGAGCCATGGAAAACCTCCACATATTATCCACTGAATTGGGAATGTGAAACTCAACCCATGACTGTTCAACTTCGTAAAACAGGCTATGGAAGAGCTGCCTGGAACCCGGCTCCTGAGGCTGCTTAAAAACCATCAGGCAGGCGAATTCATAGAGAGGGAGACTGTTCCAGTTACCGAAAATCACCATCAAAAAAGCGGAGAACTCACCAATATTAATCTCATCATCTGTTAGTGTGTCACCAATGAAGTCGAACTGGAAGGACTGCAGGGTCTGGGAGAACTTCTGCACCGCTGAGGAGTACCCTGGAAAAGGACAGAGCAATCAGTTGTGGGTTTCTGCAGCAGTTCTACAGAGGGTGCAAGTCTCTGTAACCATAGTGATGTGGTTAGGAAAATCCATAGGCATCAGGAATTTCAGTGCTGCAGCAAATGCTGCTGCATTAATAATCCTCAGAGACTGCAGATAGAGCACTGGGTTTGTGGTTTTTTTCTCTCTGAAAAAGCTTCTGTAGCATTAATGGATGCAATGCACGGTACAACAACTGTCCTGCCATGTACAGGAAGGGACACTGACACACTTCTCTGCAGGAAAACATGCAGGAGGTACCCTGGGGCTCTGCATGCATCAGCACAGCTCCCTGGAGCACAGGAGTTGTCAAATAGCCTGGACAGTGTTCACAGGAATTGTTTCATTATAAGGGAGAAAAATCTGTAGAGTCAGAAAATTAACATCAGAAAAAAGTCAGGCCTCAAAATAACTTTCTGTCCTGGAGGTCATGGACACAGACAGGCCCTGAGGGAGTAGGGACAGTGCCACAGGGAGCTTGGGGCTTGGCTGGGCTCACCCAGGCACCTGCTGCTCCTGGTGCTGAGGAACTGTCTGGGCTGGAAGCAAAGACACTGTGGCCTGATGGTGGCTGTGGCTCAGTTCAAATTATTTTTGGACCTTCCAGAGAAGTTTCTGGCCAAAAGAAAGATCCTTTGTGCCTTTGCATCCTGCACAGCTGCCTCAGAGCCCTGGGGCAGTGGCTCTGTTGTTGGACAGAGGAGCCCTGGGACAGGGCAGCAACACTGCAGCAGAGCCCAACCCAGCCACCCACCCTGGGACAGCAGGGGCAGCACTGGTGACATTCCATCCCATCAACCATGTCTTCCTGCACAAAGCTACGTGCTCTTTGGGGGATAAGTCCATCTCCAACAGCAAATTCCCGAGATACAACAGAAGGAGGCTGCACTTGCCTAACCTCAGGGAATAGCATGTAGGCAACGGAACAGAACCAAAGGAATAATTTTATATTCTGATTTACATTGCTATTTTCCTTAATTTGGGACTCCAGCCATAGGCATAGCCCCAGGCTGGACTCCTTTGTGGGGGTGCACTGGAGACAGCACTTTTTGCAAGTGGTGAAGTTGTGGCAGTACAAACATTAATGTGCAGCCAGCTCCCGCCCCTGCTTTGCTGAATCAGCACAGCAACTGCTGTATAAAAATTTTGGTGTACATGGCTGGGTTTTTTTTTTTAATTTGAACATAGAACTTAGTATCACAGTGGCAATCATGGGGGGTTCTGAAACACTGCTGTGAAGTGGAGAGAAAAACTGGATACCACCAAAATCAATGTTGAGGAAAAGAATCAAGTGGCCCGCATGGGATCTCGGCAGGTCCCCAGACTGCTCTGTTCCCCTGTCCCTAGGTCAGGAGTGCCCAGGCCCCTTGGCCCTCCCCAGGGTCCCCAGACAGGAAGGGCAGGGGGACAGCCAGGTATCCAGCATGGGGAGGGGCACGGGCTCAGAGTACAGTCCTCACTTCCCCCTCCAAAGCCTCGTTCAGCAGCTCCCTCTGATGGGTCAAACCTTTGCTCCTGAATGAGCAGATTCAGGCCTGAATGTTGCTATTTAGCCCCAGCTGCCAGGGGCTGCAGCACGTAAATGGGTGAACTCTCACACAGAACGATGTCATTGACTTGATGGAAAACCTCAGCAAATAATTCCCCTCAGTGCCCCAGCGCTCACTCAGGCTGGGCCGGAGGCTCATTCAGCCGCTGCTCAGGGGGAGCTTTGTTCGTTCCCCTCAAACGCTGGCGCTGCCGCAGCCCCATCCAGCCCCTTCACTGCCGTTATTAGCGGGTGGCCTTCAATCCCTCCCTCCCAACACCCCTCCCGGCCCAGCGTGGGTCCCTGAGCCCCCCGAAAGCAGCGTCACCCGAGGCAGCTCATCACAGCACCCCTGGCCAGCATCCATCTGTCTGTCTGTCCCTCTGTCCTCTCCATGGTGATGAGGCATTGGGAGGCTCTGGGTTCATGTCCCCGTGAGCCAGGAGCATGGCAGCCCACGCAGGCCCCACGCACGGCACATTGTGGGGACAGAGGGTCTCCACATGCCATGTTTCCATGTCGGCCCCTGAAGCAGAGAATGGCCTGGCAAGCTCCTGCCTTCTGGGTTTTAAAGAAACAGGGGGAAAGGTCATGGTACAGAAGGGTTTGAAAAGCCAAACATAGTATATTTTAACTAGAAATGAAGAAATAGTATAGCCAATTTAAGTTACATTTTCCTTTCAAAATATATCTGGCCTGAAAGTTTATTTGCCAAAGGTCCAGCTGAAGGAAGCCCAGGTGCACACAGTCACATCAGCTTAATGGTGAAAAACACAATGAATGCCCCATAGATACTCCAGAGCTGTTTGGCTGCACTTGGGACAAGGAATCTTTTTCATTTTGGGGAGCCATCTTTATCCTTACCCTCAGTAGTGAGGTGTAGGAAGCCCCCAGCTGCGAGTGGTGACTGTGGCACCCCAGAGCTAATGACAGCTGAAGGCAGGTGGCTGCCAAGGACATCCCTGGGGTGGCATAGACTTTCCCTTAGGGAAACAACTGTGGAAGATGAGAGAGGGTGAGGGAGAGGAGAGGAGAGCTGGCACTGCACATGCCTGAGGAGCTCAGATGGGAACCAGGCTCCTCCAGAACAATGCAGCTCGGCTCCCACACGTAGGGAGCCTTTGCTGAACACTGGCTCCTGACAGAGCCCCTACGTGCTCGCACACTGACAGCACCATGTGCTGCCGTGGTGCCACCACAGCTTTGGGGTGTGCCCTGGGACGTGAACAGGGCTTGCTGACAGCTGGTCCTGATGCAGCACTGCCTGCTGGCACCGGCCACCACAGGAACAGAGGATGCTCCCGCCTGGGCCCCTGCAGGGTCCGGCATAGGGACAGTACCAGGGCCTGAGGCAGAGCACTGGGTGGGACATCACGCCTTCCCTCGGTGGCACCTCAACAGTGGCATGGTGACACCAGGGATGGGGCAGGGCAGGGGGGCCATGCAGAAGGGGATGAGCCGTGGCCACAGGAAAGAGGCTCAACCACAGGAAGGGGCCAACAGACTTGCTGAGTGGAAAATTGGGGCTCCATCCTATGCTGGGAGAAGTAAGTCCATATTCTCCCTCGTTTTAACAGACACTCGGAAATGTTTTTCCTCCCGATACGCTCGGCTGCCAAACGCACCCACTGTGCACCCCCAAAGGCAGGAGGGAGAGGCGGCTGGAGGGCCTGTCCTGCTCCCCCAGCACCAGGACCCGAGGCTGAAGGAACAATGCCATGCTCCAAGCTGGAATATCCCTGCGAGCAGCATGCCAAGGCTCAGCACCACCAACAGCCCCACGGACCCTTCCTGCTTGTGGTGCAGCTCAGCCCGTCTCCATGGAAACACACCAAAATGGATTCAATCAGGAGTCCTAAGGGACTCCTCCTTCCAGCCTCAGAATGTCATGCCAACTCTTACCATTCGTGGTCACAATAATTTACTCTTCTAGTAAAAAATGAAGTTCCATCCCTGCACAGAGTCGCACAGCTGGGCTGTGGGGCAGGAGAGGGGAGCACCAGCACCAGTGCCAGCCTCAGAAGCCACGTGGAGAACTTAGGGCTGTATTTATGTGTAAACACACCTCCAGAGCCAACAGCTCGGGAAGGATGTGCCCCACACACAGCCTGCTCAGCAAGGACCTAGCAGGATCCTCACTTCAACCTTTCACAGCAACCACAGGTAACCGAAAACCACAAATAAAAAAGTGCTGCTACCGCTGCAAAAGCCACAGGCCTCTGACAAAGCAGAAACACAAACAGAACCTCAGACCAGGCTGTGTTGCTGCTTCTTCCCCCAGTGCTCAGAATTTAAACCAGAAGGAAACCACCACTACAAGACAGAACTGTGGGGGACACAGCCCCACACTCCCCCTCACACTCCCAGGGTGAGCAGATGTGGCTGGAAAATGAGGCAGGAGGTGCCACGCCAGGGCCTGTGATGCTCGAGGTGTCACAGGTGCACATCCTTAATTAGCTTAGCTAATTGCAACCCAGAGGTCACAATCTGTGTGACTGCAATGGTCCTCTGTTCCCAAGAGAGGAAACCGTGCCCCTGAGCACATAGAAATAGAAGTGGCAGTGACAATCCAGTGGTGACAGCTATGGGGACCAGCAGGATCCTGCACCACAGGAGGAATGTGCTTGGCATGCCAGCACCCTCACCCTCCTTATCCACACCCAAATAGTCTCTGCTTATATGACAGTGCTTGGCTGTGCAGCAGCTGGTACAGCCAGCACCACCTCTGCTTCTTCCTAGGACACAGCCAGGTGGGAATTGCTGCTCCTCCAGAAGGTCAGTGGGTTCAGCGAGCAGACAGTGGGTTCAGCAGCCCTTTGGCTAATCCCCATCACACACTGCTCCCTGGGTATCACATTGCAAATTAAGGAGGAAAAACCAAAATAAAAGGAGCCTCCACACACCTCAGCACCATCACAATCATTGGCCAGCAACAGTCCCAGAGCAAAGGCATTCCTGAACTTAACCTGATCCAATGAGGGTGTGAACAACTGAACAGCAATAGGGCTGCAGCATCCCCTGTTGCAGGGAAGGGACGGGATGTCCCAGTCCACATCAGAAGGTGGGAAGTGACTTTTAACTGGTCTCCCAGCTTGGGGAAGAGCAGCCAGCAGAGACTTTCACGGGGGAACAAGCCATTCCTGAGCTTCTGCATCCATCCGACCCACAGACAGCAGCGCCAGGTGCCCTTCATGGAGCAACTCAGCCACAGCTTCAGCAACCCATGAGGATTGCCATAAGGAATCAAGAAGGAAAATCCAAACCAGGTTTGAGCCGTGCCAGTGCAAATAATCAGAGCAAATGTAAGCAGGAGCTCCATCTTTGCATTTTGCTTTCTTCTTCTCTAGCTTGAAAACAGAACTGTTTAACCCAGCCACACACCTTCAAATAAGCAAACAAAAAACAATAACAGTTCATTCTACCCTTAAA